AAAAAATACCTTGAATAGTTGAATACTTAAAATCAAAGAAATATATTGTTTTATTATGATTTATTGTTTATTTTTAGCAATATACTTATGAGCTTGACATAAATTTTGGTCTCTTGGGTTCTCTATTTCGAACAGGTGCATTAAATTTATAATTTGATCTAATAGATTTTTTTTTTATTTAAAAAAAAACGGTTCTCGTCAAACTCATTTTGCTACTCAAGTAACAAGATTTGCTGATATACAGGGTGTCCCATAAGTAACAAGACAAGGAAAAAAAGTTTGAATATCTCCATTAGGGCTCGACCAAATGGGCTCAATTTTTTATCAAGGATAGACGCATCTGCACACTCCAAATCCATACGAACAAGGTGAATGAGAACCTTTGTTAAGTATCACTATTGACCTCAACAATAAAATTTTTACTTTTTCACAGACAGGAAAATAAAAAAATATACTTAACAAAGGTCCTCACTAAGCTTGTCTGTATGGATTTGAAGTATAAGCATGCCTCTATTTTTGGTAAAAAAATCAGCTCGGTTGCTCGAGCCGTAATCGAAATATTTAATTTTCTTTTCGATAAAGTGACTTTTGCACTATCCTGTATATTGGTTTTTTCTTACCAGTGACACAGCAAAAATTTTATTGTTGAGGTCACTAGCGATACTTAACAAAGGTTCTCATTCACCTTGTTCGTATGGATTTGGAGTGTGCAGATGCCTCTATCCTTGATAAAAATTGAGCCCATTTGGTCGAGCCCTAATGGAGATATTCAAACTTTTTTTCCTTGTCTTGTTACTTATGGGACACCCTGTATATGCTTCCACAGTTGTAAATCTTGTTTGTTATCCATTTTTTTACTCTTTTCATGCTTTTCCACAATTAGTATCCCAGGTCGGAATAGCTATGTCGGATCCTGTCGGATAGGTTTCAAATCCGTTGAGATACGGCTAATCGGATTCGGTCGGTTACTTTTTGTCGGATTCCGATGCTATCCACTGTTTTCCTTTGATATCCGCCGATCGGATTCATCGAGCTCCGACTAGATTCATATATTCGGAACTGGTCAGATCCGATCTCAAGATCTGTTCGCTTCCGATGGGATTCCGGGGAATCTGATGTCAAGAAATGGCCGGATTTTGCGGTTTCAAATGACACCGGATTCCATGATAAAACCGATCAATCACTGGTATCGGAACTTGTCGGAATATATAAGAATGCACAATACCCAGGCCGATCTCACACCATCGGATCCGATGGAAATTAGTCGGAAGTTGTCGGATGTTGGAAAGTGTCGGATTTTCAGAGTTCCGACAAGCTCCCGGCCACTTTCGACACTTTTCGAAATCCGACAACTTCCTGTCAGAATCCGATACCAAGGATTCCGACGAATTGCCATCGGATTCGATAAAATTCGATAATTTTCCGATAGGATCCGACGAGATCCGACTGTCGGATTGTTCGTTCTGGGTATCCAGTATTATTTTCCACGTAGTCGGATTCATGAATTAGAATATATTCTGACAGATCAATCAGCTAATCATCTAATAAGATATTTCTCTTTTTACAAATTTCCAACAACAAAATCAAAAATCTGGAAATCCGATTTTGTCCAGATTTCATTCACCGTTTTGTTCTACAGATATCGATCTATATAAAGAAGTCTATACTTTAATATTTTGAATGAATTTCCAAAGTGTTGCTCAGATTAATTTTACTTCAAATGATTTGTTTTCCTTATACAATTATGTTTTCCACGCCATTAGATTCATGAATTAGAATATATTCTGACATATCAATCAACTAATTAATTTATTTATTAGATATTCCTATTTTTACAAAATTCCAACAACAAAATCAAAAATCTGGAAATCCGATTTTGTCCAGATTCATTCACCGTTTTGTTTTACAGGTATGGATCTATATAAGGAACTCTCTACTTTAATATTTCGAATGAATTTCCAAAGTGTTGCTCAGATTAATTTTACTTCAAATGATTTGTTTTCCTATCACAATTCTGTTTTCCACGCAATTGGATTCATGAATTAGAATATATTCTGACATATCAATCAACTAATTAATTTATTTATTAGATATTCCTATTTTTACAAATTTCGACAAGCAAAATCAAAAATCTGGAAATCCGATTTCGTACAGATTTCATTCACCGTTTTGTATTACAGATATCGATCTATATAATGAAGTCTTTACTTTAATATTTTGAATGAATTTCCAAAGTGTTGCTCAGATTAATTTTACTTCAAATGATTTGTTTTCCTATTACAATTCTGTTTTCCACGCAATTGGATTCATGAATTAGAATATATTCTGACAGATCAATCAACTAATTAATTTATTTATTAGATATTCCTATTTTTACAAATTTCGACAAGCAAAATCAAAAATCTGGAAATCCAATTTCGTCCAGATTTCATTCACCGTTTTGTTTTACAGGTATCGATCTATATAAGGAACTCTCTACTTTCATATATCAAGTGAATTCTGCCATTTTGTGTAACTAAGTTCTATATATTAGGAACAATCTTAGTACAAGCATTGTTCAATTTTAAGAAGGATCGTAGTATATACATTGTTGGATTCTAGGAATAATCCCAGTTGAAACAGTTGAAATCCTTTAGACTCTTGATGACATCCTGATGCAATCTTTAGAAATTTTGATAACATCCTGGTGAAATCTGTTCAAAATGTCGATTCAATCTTTGGAAAATCTTTAGAATTCTTGATGAAATCCTTGGGAAATCTTAGTGAAATCTTGAGAAATCTCGACGAAATTCTTGAGAAATCTTTATAAATCTTGATGAAATCCTTAGGAAATCTTCAGAAATCTGGATGAAATCCCGGACAAGCATTTAGAAATCTTGATGAAATCCTTGGGAAATCTTCAGAAATCTTGATGAAATCTTTGCGAAATCTTCAGAAATCTCGATGAAATCTTTGTGAAATCTTCAGAAATCTCGACGAAATCTTTGAGAAATCTTTATAAATCTTGATGAAATCCTTGGGAAATCTTCAGAAATCTGGATGAAATCCTGGGGAAATCTTCAGAAATCTCGATGAAATGCTGGGGAAATCTTTAGAAATCTCGATGTAATCCTTGAGAAATCTTGAGAAAAATTGGATGAAATTGTCAGAAATCTCTAGTAAATCTTTGGAAATTTTGAGAATGCTAGAATGAAATCTGTGCGAAATGTTGATTGAATCCTTGTGCGATCGAAACAGATTCAGCCAACTTCTGATGAAATCCGACTGTATTCTGTCGGAGCCTTACGTTATCAGGCGTTTCTCTGTGAAAGGATCCTGGTGGTTACGGCATTATCTGACAAACAGTTCCGACAGGATCCGATCGAATCCCTTCCGACGTAATCCGGTCCGGAATCCGTTAGTTAGGAATCCTGTGAAATACGGTTGGGTTCCGATCGGATTTAGTTGGGAACCCGACGAATTCCGGTGTGATCCGACATCGGATCCGATAGTTTTCGGTAGGATCTACAGGTCGGATTGAATCACCTGGGATGTAATTTGACGACTAATCGTTAGTTTTATTTTAAATTGTTTTTCTCAGATGCCACATGAATCAACTGTTGATCCTGAAGAAACGGTGCATTTTAAATCATGGGGCGAATACACCTGTTAGTCGTCGTTCAATATTTTATGAAACATTTCCAAATATATCTCATTTTGATAATTCAATATCAGCAGTTTCATCAATATACACTTATCCAGATTTACCATTACATGTAACACATGATCATGATGATGATCGTTCATCAAATGTTAGTCAAGATTTAGACTCCGATCCTCAATCAAAAGTAACAAATACACCACCGAAAAGAAATGTGAAACCAACAGAAAAATAAAGAGACTCCGATTTGATTTCTTTTTACTTTGTCTTTTATTACAGTAGTTAGAAATTTGTTCTTGTTTTGTTTACTAAGTACTAAAAGAACTAATGTGTAAGTGTGTTTTTCGCATCTGATACTATATCTTTATTTCGTTCTTTGAACAGTAATCTTTATTATTCATACAAATTAAGATGGAAGTCTCAAATTGATACTAAAACCTGCATATATAATGCTTCGATATTTTCTAACTAATCAATAGTATTGTTGATTGAGTTTGTAATCTTGTCTTACTCATTTGCAGCATCATTTAGAGGTTAAAATTACTAAAATTTTTTAATAAAAACTTAACGATAATCATTTCATAGGGTGGATGAGTGTGGGTGTAGATCTACGTATTTTGTTGTACTTTACAGACACCCACACACGCACACCTCAGTAACCATCTTTCTTTTCATTTTTCATCATTTATTGATTTTAAGCATTAACTTTTCTGTTTATTGTCTTATGCTTTGCAAAACAACAATAACATCGTAATAACTCTTCAATTTTTGTCTGTAAAAACTGTTCCCAACATAAATTTGATGGATAAATATATATAAAGAATACAAACATTTCTGGTATATGTACGAGAAAATTAAGTATAACATTCAGGCGCATTCTAGACAATGTATTTGGACATTTTATCAATAGATGAAACTAGCGTGAGCCCGTGCATACTGCACGGCTGTTTTCTCTTTTAACGTATGACCTCAAAGCTTTAACCTTTCACGCAATAAGAGCCATATAGACACTCCACATTGTGGATGTGGGTAGGTGAGGGTGTTGAGATCCGTCTTCTCTCTACCCACACCCAAAGGTGCATGTCGAATATGGTGATCATTCAGTTCATGTACAAGAGTGTTAGATGTTCTTCGACGACCTAATTTTATAGGCAAATCAGGTACCTGAACTCTCTTCTCAATAGAGAGCTCAAATTGTGGAAAGAATATTAGTCAACACTCATATTATAAGCATGAGGATGACATACTTCTTCTGCCAGGAACCTGTTTTCAAGTGTGCAGTCTAATGAATCGTTCAGATAGCTTTCATATTGTTCATCTTCGTCAAGTAAAACCAT